AGTGATATCAATTAACCCCCCGTGACATTTATTCACGAAATTCGCAAAATAAAATTTCAAATATTTAACAAAACAAAACTTTATTTAATACTTTTGCAAAAAAAGTTAACAAAAAAAAAAGGAAAGAGAAAAAAAAGACAAATAAAAAGAAATATCTTTTTCAGCAAAAATAATACATTTTGATAATGTACGTAATAAGACGCGTAACCGACAAATATCTATTGAATTTTGCCTGGATTTTTTGGTCTAAATTCATCACGATGATTCTAAATTATTTTATTGGTCAAATATAGCAAATATTAGTAACGATACCATTGGAATGTCTATATATAAAAGAAATAATAATAACCTTAAAGTACGAAATAACGGGAACGGGTTCATGTTCGGTGATTTTTTGGACATCTCCGGAAATATAATTGGCTTTTCCGCTTTTAATGTAATCGAACATGTCACATCTAATATTAAAAAAAAAAAAAAAAAAATAGAGGTAAACAATCATAATTCGTTATGAAAGTAAATAAATTAAGATACTTACAGAGTCAGGATTTCAGTTTGGTTAGGACATGGCGGATTAGGGAACAAGTCTTCGCGGCTTTCTTGATCGCCATGTTTGGTAAGTCCGATCATTTTTTCATCTTCACATGATCTCAAATATTCTTCACACTCTCTGCGTTTAATTTCCATAAATTCAACGTTCGCGTCGGTGACTATATTCATCATAGCAATGAGGGTGACAGCGGAGATAGATTCCGGACCGGTAAGAGTATAGTGCCTTTTGTGATGAGTTTTCTCCATTTCATTACGAAGTTGACCATGTCCGTCATAAACGATGCAGTGGATTGTGCAAAAAACATCGTTAAGATGAATTGGTGCCATGCGACTGTCGCGCCTAATTGGAAGGGTAAGTTGATTTTTCTCGACGATGCGTTTAGAAAAATGGTGCAGACACTGCACGGCTAACGCAGATCTGAAAAAAAACACGGATTTTGAAATTAAAATAAAATGATAATAATAATATATAATGAAAAAAAAGAAAGATATCTACCTGAGGATACAGTGGCGATCAACAGCAGATTCGGCTTTTTTTTCCATATCCCGGAATTCGCGAAGACATTTTTCATCGGCATCATCAGCACCGAGTACTGAACAAAAGAGCAAGTTGCTTACACTAACTTTTTTAGCAGCCTTAACAAGGAGGATATTTGTCATTATGAGATTAATAAATAGATAAATAAATTAAAAAAAAAAAAAGGTACGTACATCAGCAAAAGTTTTAGCCATGTGAAGACGGTCGTTATCCGACTCGGGAATCCAAAGTACCCATAGAGAGCCGGTTAAAGCGCGTTCAATTGTATCGGTCTTATTATAATCAATTTGAATAACCTCAGCACCGAGTTTGTTAAATTCACCCAGATTAGAGGTATCACGTGCGAGAACGCGTACATGATACTTGTGACCTCTCTGCTTCCTTTCATGAAGCAAGCAGTGAGCAATTCCATGACCCAAATAGCGGTCACAGGAAGTAATGCAAATAACATGTTTGTTTTGAGACGACATATTGCTAAAAGGGTTTTTGAAAATATTCTTAATGATGTTCTTAATTATGAAGAAAATTTGAGATAAGAAATGATGAAGGGACGAAGGCAAAAGGTGTGGCTATTTAAAGAAAATTTTACAATATAAAATTTTAACTACTGTTCTTTAATCTTGTAGCAGTTACTTTTTCCAAAAAAAAGAATTAAAATGAAATGATAAAAAAAAAAAAGCCAGTTCTTTCATTAATCAACTTTTGATTGATTCATTAAGGACGTGGGTATAGCGTCTTTCAAATATTTACGTTAACCTCACATTTATTGATTTATTTTAGTTAAAATAAACGAAGCAAAACTTTAACAAGCTATCTAATGAAAATAGGCAGCGTCAATTCCCACACCCAATGTCAACTCCCACACCCAATGTCAACTCCCACACCATCAAATATCGACTTCCTTTTTGATAACAATGAATTCCTGCTTTTTAAGGTAGAAAGGGAACATTATGTCACAGAATCGAATGATTTTGATGATATTCGAGTTAAATTTACTAAAAATCATTTACGAGATATTTTCACATGTAGAGCAGGTTCCAATTATAATATTTCGGGAACTCAGTAATTAGTATCGAATGATTTTTCAGTCTGTTTTGTGATATAGAGTAAAATCGTTAGACTCGGATTGCTGGGTAATGATATCTTTATTTAGATAAGCCAATTTTCCTATTTAAATTTAAAACGGGTTCTCGAATTTATTTGCAAGTCTACGTAAATCTAAATTTGGTGATCTTCCGAATATTTTTAATTAATGGACCGCGATATTTCTGGAGCATAATACCTTTCTTCGTTATGTCTTTTGTGTTTAAATAAAGATATCTTACGATTTAGCTATCAGAATCGAATGATCTTAGCATTCGATTAGTCTATGACTGTATTAATCAAAAAAGATAGATACATTTCTTACACAAATGGAAATTTTTTATAATCACAATCATTGAAGGAGGATTAATTACTATATTTCGCAGTGGAAGGACATTTCTAAAAAGATTCAACTACTTTTTACAAATGCATATACTATATTTGGAATTTGAAGATGTATAGTGTGTGAAAAAATAAAAGAATAGTGTATGGGAATTGTATTAGCGAGATAATACTAAGTTCTAATATTGACTTATGACTTAAGAACAGAATCACCTTAATCATCTTAATTGCATTTTACCGTATTTTAACGTACGTACGTACGTATTATCTTTTAAAATAGAATTCACTGATTGGTCGATGGGAAATTATGGATTATCGATATCAGCAATTGATATTTTTTTAAACAATCACACGAAGTAAAATAAATAATGATAAAAAGAGTAAGATGAAGTGTAACGGGTATCTACAAAATTCCATAGCATATTGTTTCCCATGGTTCGTGTCATTCCCTGCATAGCTTTCATCCTAATGTAGTTACGCTATTTCTGTATTGTGGGAAAAAGCACCATAAAAAAAATCATCATAGACACTGAGGTACTTACGTAACCCGGTTTATCTTATCGAATATTAATCAAAAAAGATTATCTTTATTGTAAAATATGTGTATTTTTAACTAGGGTTATGCAAGTGCTAGGCACGGTGCCGTTAAAACATAGTGCCCAAGCCGCTGGGTACTATGATTTAACAGCATCATTGCCCGACACTTGCAGAACCCTAACCATATCAGATTGGCCGACACTTGGGTACCAAGATTTTCAGGGAACAGATGATTTCCAACCTTGAGACTTAGAAATTTATCTGATAACGAATTTCTCAAACAATGTCGATGTTAATTATTGTCTAGAAAGCCATTGAACCGAGTATTAAAAAAGCCAAGGTTGTAGTAAATCATTGACTCAATTATTCTTCACTTGATTATGCAATCGACCTTAAATGACACTTTATCTTGCTTTGCAAGTCATCAATATTAACAGAATACTTTTCACGATATACTGTAGTACATTATTTTGATTAATACTTGTCAACAAGATTAAGAAATTGGTATCACTGTAAGGAGTCTTCAAGAATCTCATTCAAAATTTAATTTAAAATATGATCTATTATACGTCGTTTCATTTTAAATGAATGTTGTTTACAATTTCATCAATTATCTTTAACATGATAATGACTACTTAATAAAATTAGCCATTTTGATTGAAACTGATTAAGATCCACGGCGCCATAAAATTTTACCAATCAATGCGATTCTATGTTAGTTCTTGGAAGTCTTGGACGTGTGCGCGAATTACCAATTTTAAGTGGTTGTTCATAATGCTGATTATTTTCTCAATTTTGATTAGTTGATCAGAAAATAAACTACCATGAGCGTGAATTTGAAGACAAACTAAAGTGTAATCATTCGGATCTTTCCAACATTTTTTTTCCCGCTAATCAGATCGTTTATAGGTATATTGATTGATGTATAATATCGATTATATAAAGAAGGAATCATAGTTAGTATAGTTGAAATAA